ACACACACACACATACACACATACACACACACACACACACACACCCCTTGGTGCTCTCAGATGAGGGGTCTGTTGAGTTATCATTGAAAGCTTCTACTTCCGATGCTTCATGAAATTAAAGGAAGGAGGGAGCGTGTGGAAAGCTCCTGCCAACTCCAGGCTGTAATACAGCTCTGAAATGATGGGGGCGAAAGGAAACTGTGGAAAGTGTTTGGCAACGGGCAAGAGAAGGCACTCCCAAACGCTTTGATGGTCAGTTAGCCAGAAAACGCGCTAAAGACGGGGTGCTGCGCTAGATTATGGGCCCAGGGATGACCCTAAGGACACAAAGACTTTAATTAAGGGGCTTATTCACACCCCACTAAGTTTGGGAAATTAAGCTCTTCTTTGTGCCTAACTGGTGTTTCTTTTATCTGGGCTTCCGTGTGTGTTGCAATAGAGAGCAACATTTTCCCGAAATGTGTTCTGCCTTAGAAGTGATAACCGGGCCAGATTTCACGTAAAGCCTTGCGTTTGTCGTGGCATGGAATTCACGCAGATGTGGGTTGGAGCTGGTGCACTGGACCTTTTCATCGTGCTCTTACACAGTAGAAGAGAGTGAGGGGACCCCAGCCTCTGCATGTTAGTTCCCGTTCACAGGTGGTGGGCAGTGTGCTTGCTGTAAACACAGCATGTTACCTTTTCTCCAGAAACACATTTGTGTGTGTGATTTGATAAAGGCGGCTTTGACTGCAGTCCAGGTCTGACTTTCTGAAAGCCTAGGCCGTGGCCTTCAGATGTGATGTTATGTCTTTTCAGACAGAATTGATGATATATTAGGTTAGTTGGAGCTTTTGGGTCATATCCATCTACCTGGGTACTGAGCTGGACCACTTCCTTTGGCCAGCAGTGGGCATTGTGAATGAAAATTCCCGAGAAGAAACTGTCTGGCTGTAAATGAAAAACTCCCACAAGGAGTTTGTGTGTCTGCAGACTTGTGGACCAATTGGAATTTCAGTAGTGTAAAGAGACTGGAATTTTTGTAGATTCAGAGGCTAATTAATTACTTTATCATGGGCTAGTGTTAGCTTTCTGGAGCAGCCATTCCATGCCCACCTCTGTATCTGAACTAACACCTCATGGTAATACATCAAAACCTCTTAGAAGCTGTTAACAGAACACCAGCTTCCACCAATCCAAATGCTAAGAGTGTCATCAGGTAATACTTTAGGCCTATAGAAAAGCTTCCGCCATCTCGAGGTACCCATCTCTCTGGTGTACCCACCAATACATTTTAAGCTTGCCTTGATTTATGACTTTCTTTGTTCTGTAAAACTATAAAAACCCTGTGAAACTGCTTCCATGTTAAAACATGGAATTTGGGGTAACGTAAATCTGTGTTCCCAGGCAATGGTCACTCAAAATGCTCCAGAATAAACTGTGTCTTCTTCCTTTTAAGATGAGAGGTGCGGTCTTTTCTGTTGACGGCATTCTCACATCTAGAAGGCCTGGGACCCTTGACGTGGGCTCCGTGCCCTTTTTCATTATGAGGCAGTTCTGCCTGTGGAGTTTGCTTTGCTCTCTAAGTTTTAAAAATACTGAGAATGCTTCGGCTTTTGTAATTTTACCCTACACCAACATTTCTAGTTCACCTACACCATCAGTCAAGTGGAGGGTTTGTTTCTTAAGGTCCTCTCTACCCTTGGTGTCAGAAGGCCCCTTTGCATGCTTTTTACTTTGTGTATTGGGAGAACAGAACCTCAGCTTGAGCTAACTGAACGGGAATATGCGACTCCTAGGTAGGTGTTCACCCGTCATCTGAACGTGTTAGAAGTGGAGAATGGAAAATGGCAGGGCAAGACAGAGTCGTCCCCACAAGTCCAGGGGTGCAGTTCGGCAGGACAGAGAGAGCTGCTCGACGCTGCTGTGAGTGGGGAGCCTGGTGGCCGAGGACCTTGGAGCAGCACTTGTGACTTTTGGCCCATTTTTTATACTCTTTACTTAGGAACATGTTACCTAGCTTTGAATATGAATTTTCTTTGTTTTTCTCTGGAAAAAGAGAAAATTACATTTACTGGTATAAATATTTTTGTTACTATGTACCTAGCTGATTGGTCCAAATTTATAGGCGAAGTAAACCTGGCAACTGAAGAATATAACTGAATTTTACTTTAAAAAAAAAAAATGCTGAATCAAAATGTTATATGAGGTAAAAGTTTGATTTCTTATCTTAGGCTTTATTTTGCTAACATTGTCAGAACCAGCACATCTGGCTTAGATTCTAAAATAGTTTGGTTTTATGCTTCAGTAAAAATGAATCCAATCAAATTGGAATTGAAAATAGATAAAAAGAGAACCTTTGGTACAGCAAGGCTGTCAGGAAGGTCTGGGCATTTCCTCTCCTGGTGGCCTTTCAGAACAGGCCAGAGCCCTTGCCTGGTAGTGCGTGTGTGCTTAGAGCTCTGTCTCCAGGGAGGAGTGGTCTGGGCACACCGCAGCGCTGGGGTGCTTTGAAAAGTCCTTTTCATTCCACCTCTAGGACAGCGAGCCCTCCTTCCCTCCCTCCCTCCCTCCCTCCCTCCCTTCCCATTTTCCTGTTGTTGGGGTGGAGTTGACAGTCTTGTCTTTTTAATTTTGTTAGTAATGGGTAGTGTTGTCTTTTAAGTTATATTTTCATTTGACAGGATGAAAGTGTGTCATCTTTTCAGATTCAAGCGGAACTACTGTCCCTGCCAGGCTCTCTGTTATCTGTCCAGTTTGGGTTCTGAGTTGTTTTATACGTTGTTTTCCTCACCCCTCTCTGGGTGTGGATAGTGCACAGAGCCAGCTGCAGCACGTAAATGGACAGCTTGCTTCGACTGTGAAGCAGTCACTGAGCTTGATGAGATGTGGGGAAAAAAAACTTAGCCTTGTTGCTTTGGGGTTCAGAATGACAGAAGTGTTTTCCTGTCCTCTGCTGAGAATAGAAACAAGTATCTCTCCGTGCTGGGCAGTCTGTGTAAGTCTGTCTCTATGGTATCAACTCAACAGTAGCAGATTCCCCTATCCGCCCATCCAACTCTGTGTTAATTATGCTGACCTTGGAGCTATTAGAGACACAGCAGTTTGCTCCCCCATAAATAATGCACTCGCCCTGAGTGGCAGGCTGCAGGCTTGTGGCTCAGCTCTGCTGGGTATTTATAGTTCAAGCCAGTAAACATTTTGCTTGAATCCTTCAGGAGCCTTGGGCCTGATCCCTTTTCAAGTGGGTGTTGAGAGAAATGAATCAGCATTGTTTTGAACTACAGCAGAGTCCAGCGCGCTGATAAGCCTTCTGTGGCACTGGTTATTTAGTGGCTTGGGAGTGGACCTCCGGGCTTGTTGGTTCATTTTCAGCTGGTTGAGCCTCAAGGATGGTTACTGGGTGGGAGGCTGGAGCCGTGCTCTGGCAGCAGATGAAGAAAGCTCTCTGCTGCCTTGAAGTAAAACAAGAATCAGCTAGGACTGGTGTGGGGCTGGCATGGGGTGGGCCTTCACTGGGGCTTTACAGACGATACTCCCAACATGCGGAGGGGGCTCTGTTCAGGCCTGTGATCACGTGTGCACATCTCTGGCGGTGGTGTTTCATCGTGGGTTTCTTGTGTAATAAGGTGAAGGGTGACATAAGGAGAGAATGGAGTACGTGCGTACTGGTGTGGGAAAGCCTGCTTCTCAGCGTGTTCCATCCGTGCAGGCTCATGTTGCTTTCCCCTGTGTCCTTTCTGGGACTTAGTTCCCCTAAGACTCTGGTGATACTCCTGCAGCCTCCCAGCTCAGCCCCCATGATCAGAAGTATAGGCTCTCATTTTCATATTTGTTCCTGATTTGTTTTTTTCCTGTAGGAGTTTCTTGGTGTAACGCAGTAAGTGCTTCTTACTACTAGAAAGTGTGAGGACACATTTTCCTAGCCAGTGGCTTTAAGAAGAATGGTTATTTTTAAAGGAGACCTGTAGGCTTTTAGTGTTCAATGGCTATTGACTTTTTCCCCCAGAAGAAACATTGATTTTTCTCTCCCTCTGTTTCAGGTTCTGCATTCTTCCCTGGGCGGTGTGCTGAAATCTTTGCCCGGGGTCAAAGCATCGGGAAGCTTGGCGTCCTTCATCCCGATGTTATCACCAAATTTGAGCTGACCATGCCCTGTTCCTCTCTAGAAATCAATATAGAGCCGTTTTTGTGAAACTGGTCTCGGTTGTGCGGTTCTGCCTCTACTGTCCCTTTCCCTCCTGTGGTGTCCTTCGGCCCTCTTACAGGGAGCATCCATTTGTGCTTTAATGTTTAATAAAGTGAGATGTGCTAGCTGGCGCCTGGAGTAGCTGCATTAGGCCAGCTTGTGGAACAGCCAGTGTGTATCTACGCACTGCACTGGGGGGAGGTGCCCTGGACAGGCAGGGTGAGTTCTGCAAGTGGAAGTATTGCTTGGACATGAGAGTCTCACTGTTACTCATGACTCCAGTGTAGCAGGATTCCATGTTTTCCTTATTAATGAAACAAGTGATTGATAAAACACACATTGTACATGTTTAAGCCTTTTCTACACTTGACATGTATTAATCAATAAAATCAGTACTTTAAGAAAAATTTTAAGAATCCGTTATGGTCAAGCAGTGGCAGCCTTTCAAGTTGTCTTTTTTTTTTAAAGTTGATTTATGTGTGAATATATGTGTATATGACTGTAGTGTGTGTCCGTGTCCGTGTGTCCATGTGTCCGTGTCCTGTCCATCCTAGTTAGGTTTACTGTTGCTGTGTTGAAACACCATGACCGAAAGGAAGCTGGGGAGGAAAGAGTGTATTTGGCTTATACTTCTACATCATAGCCCATCACTGAAGGAAGTCAGGGTAGGAATTCAAACAGGGCAGGAACCTGGAGGCAGGAGCTGATGCAGAGGCCATGGGTGGTGGGGCATGCTGCTTACTGGCTTACCCCCAACACCAAGGCTTTCTCACAACCCAGAACCACCAACCCCATGGGTGACCCCACCCACAATGAACTGAGCCCTCCTACATCAATCACTAATTAAGAAAACACACAACAGGCTTGCCTAAAGCCTGATGTTATGGATACATTTACTCAATCGAGGCTCCCTCCTCTCTGATGACTCTTAGCCTATGTCAAATTGACATAAAAACCAGTCAGCACAGTGTGTGCATGCACACATGTGTATACATACATATGTGTGTGCATTTTTCTATAACTTAGTAAGATAAAGTTATTAATGTGTTGTGGAATATTCCTTTACACTGTGTGAAGATGTGTCACTGTGATTGGTTTAATAAAGAGCTGAATGGCCAATAGCTAGGCAAGAAGAGGTTAGGCAGGACTTCTGGGGACAGAGAGGTCTTTGGAAGAAAGGTAGAGTTGCCAGCCTGACGCAGAGGGAGCAAGACATGCAGGAAGAGAGGTAAGTGGCACGAGTCACGTGGCAGCACGTAAATGAATAGAAATGGGTTAATTTAAGTTATAAGAACTAGTTAGAAACAAGCCTAAGCTATAGGCTGAGCTTTCATAATTAATAATAAGTCTCTGTGTCATTTTCTGTGAGCTGGCAGCCCAAAAAAATCCAGCGCCATTAGCCCTCATTGAAATACAAATAAAGACCACATTGATAAACTGTTCATACTCATTAAAATGGCTAATGTTGGAGCTGGAGAGGTCCTAATAGCATTGACTGCTCTTGCAAAGTTCTCGGTTTATTTCCCATCACCCACATGGCGGCTCGCAACCATCTGTAATTCCAGACTGATACTCTCTTCTGGTCTCCAAGGGCACCAGGCACATAATTGCTATGCAGACATAATGGAGGTAAAACACCAATACATATTTTTAAAAAATGTTAAAGATTCATGCTTAAATGATGGATCAAATGGTAGTGGTACAAGTGGAACTGTTGGGCACTGCTGTTGAGGACATAAAATGATCCAGCCAGGAAAGTAGTTTACTAGTTTCCTGAAACCTGAAACATCATCTAGCTATTTCATCCATGTGATCATACAACAGTTTTTATGCAAGATACTCAGTATTATTTATAGTAGCCACAGACCACATAGCCCACTCTATGAAGGGCATGCAGTTCTTAAGAGGAATGAATTCCTGATAGCACAAATGAGTCCAAGCATGCTAAGAGAAAGGAGCCATACATAAAAGACTGCACGTGGTCTCATTTATGTAGGAATCAAAAGAGATGATGGGGGCTGGTGAGATGTCTTGGTGGCTAAGAGCACTGCATTTGCCCAGGACCTGGGTTTGATTTCCAGCTATGTGATGGCTCGCAATTGTCTGCAAGCTGGTTCCAGGGGCTCCAGTACCTTCTGACCGGCTCAGGTACCAGATACACACATAATGAGTATCTAAACCTTTGAACAGGAGTACATTGAGTAGAAACCAGCCAGTCACACTGCTGCCTCTGCTCTAAGCAAGAGAGGCGCAGTGGCTTGGGAGGGAAACGTTGCTGAGGGTTGTCCTTGTACTGACCTCTTAACTGGACTTGTTTGGTATCAACAACCCCGATGCTTTGGTATTGACTTTGACTCTTGCATATGTTTTTACCAAAAGGAGGCTAATGACCTGAAAAGGGACATTAATTGCCTTAAGCAAAATAGAACTTTGCATTTAGAGCATTTGACCCATCTGATAACCCCCGAGATCTGGCTGGTTACGTTATTAGGACTTGGAGCAGCTTGATGTATATTACTGTGGACCCAATGCCCTTCTCCAATATGCCTAGTGTGGTGGTTCTTACAAATGAGGTCTTTGGGAGATAGTTAGGGCTAGGTGAGGTCTTGAGGATGAAGCCTTCCTGGTGGGATTAGCAACCTTCAGGAGAGATGCCAGAGAACTTGCTTTCCCATCCCTGCCCCATGCATACGTGAAAAAGAGGTCCTGTGTGCATAGGCCAGATGGTGGCTCCTACAAGCCACCTTGATTTTGAACCTTCATTCTCCAGAACAGTAAGAAAGAAACTTCTGTTCTTTATGAGCCACTGTCTCTGTGCTATCTTGGCGGCCTCAGCAGGTGAAGAAATAAAAAGAAGTAGAGACTGGCCTGCATTATAAAACTCAGGGTAGCGGTCCACTTCTGGGAACACCAGCAGCTCCCTAAGACACCTGCCGGAAGTTGCTGTGGGGAGCATGGTCTCCTTGGGCAAAAGCAGAGGAATGAAACCCTTCGTGACAAGCTGAACAAGATGACAAGTGGGCACAGAACGGGCCCAGTGTCCGTGACAGACTGTGAGTTCAGATAGTCTGCTTGGCTCCGAATTTCCCGAAAGCAGAAAGGATGGCGGTGGACATGGCAGCCAGACTTGGTTGAATTACCTCCAGCAATGGGTCGAGTGGAATCATGTCTGGCCAAAGCAAGACCCATGCTCATGTGGTTACTCTTGGGAGTACTTCAGTGCTGAGTCGAGTGTCTTCCAGGATTGCCCTTTTTTTCTGTTTATGGATGGATGCCAGCCTAGGGCTGTGCCATGGCTGTGTGTTAGAAAGTGTTAGAAACAGCTTAGTTCAAGAATGTGGGGAGGTGGGGGACGCAGCTGAGGGAGAAATCAGAGGCCTTGTCAGACTTTATGAAGTTAGCCCTTTCAGACAGAAGTGACGATAAGGACACAAGGAGCCCTTTTGATACTAAGCTTGGTAGCAAAGGAATTCACCTCCCAGAAGCAGCCACTTTGTGTCACGAAGGAGGAGACTATGGTGGTCTCCTTCAAACAAGCCCTTCCTGAGAGCCAGCGAGAGGGCAGTTTCACTGGAGGCAAGTCTGGGTGAACTACTCGCTTGGTTCTGGGCAGGTAAGGAGTTAACACCCGGACAGAAATGGGTGGTGTTACCCCAAGATCTCAACGAAAACTGGGTGTTTGGGTCACTAGGAGGCGCAGGGCTAGGATCTGTATAGGGCGCAATGGATGTCTTTCTTTGATCTCAGCCCTCCAACAGCTTTTTATCAGTGTTGAACTGAGATGGGCAAGATGGTGTGTGTTTCGGGGGCTCTGCATAATTTGTCCCCCTCGGGGCCACCCATATGGCTTCCAGGTGACAGCTGCCGCAGACCAGAAGCCCGAGCGGCCCCTCCTCTCTTGGCCACGGCTTCTTGGGCACATTATGAAGTCCTTGCGAGACCAGGTGTTAAGGCAGCATCAAGTTGTCACCCTACCCTGCCCTCCAGGAGAGGACCGAGTCGGGCTTCCTACGGGAAGTGTTGGCCGCCTTTGAACACCTTCACGGGAAGAATCTGGCTTTGCTCCAGCCAAGGGGACCCTGGCGTCCTAGCAAGAGGAGAAGCAGCAAGGTTGGCAGATGTGTCGAGTGGGTAAAAAAGCGTCACAGCCGGGACTCCTCACGCCACCGTCGCCTTTCTTGTTTGGTTTTGCACGCCACATAGACAGGCGTGGAGAAGGGAAGAGGAATTTTTGGCTCCATGGAGCTCGCTTGTCTCATGTGGCTATGGTTTTTTAAGAATTTAACATTCTATTCATGGCCCACATTCAGCTCTCGTTCTTAGTATGCATGTAAGTGTGGAAGTCTGTACTACAGGTGTGCCCCCACTTTAAGAAAACAACGGATGTATAGGAAGTCCAAACTAATTTATTAAAGTCTTATGTTGGCGAGGAATGAAGAATTGCCATATGACTTTGAAACAGCAGAGCCTTCAGCACAGCCAGAGTTTACAATGCAAGCAAAGCTGGGCAGATGGCTTACTGGTTGCTGTGAGAGCTGGAGGACCTGAGTTCGAATCCCCAGAACCCATTAAAAGTGGGGTATCGGCTGGGCATTGGTGGCGCATGCCTTTAATCCCAGTACTTGGGAGGCAGAGGCAGGCAGATCTCTCAATTCGAGGCCAACCTGGGCTACAGAGTGAGTTCCAGGAAAGGCACAAAGCTACACAGAGAAACCCTGTCTTGAAAAAAAAAAAAAGGGGGGGGGGGTATCATGTCTTATGTCTATGACCCCAATACTAGGGGGCAGAGACAGGAAGAACCATAGGGGCCTGCTGGCCTAGCTGTCTGGCCAAAATAGTGAGCCTTAGGTTCAGTGGGGGGACTTTGAGACATACGGTGAGAAGCAATGGGAAGATGTGCCAGGCATTCATGTCAGCATACACACTCCTACAAGCAAAATCAACACAAGTGGCTTTGAGGAGGATACTGTCTAACATGAAATGTGCTTGGCCTGGTCAGTGTAATCGGGCTGGAGAGATGGATCCAATCACCAGAGAGATGGAGGACAGTGAGGAGTCCTGGCAGAGCCCTGATCACAGCAAGACAATTCAGTTTTGGAGGCGAGTTTGAGGAACTGAGAAGACTACGGGATGTGGTGGGCACAAGGGACACACAGCTGCTTTTTTTTTTTTTTAAATAAGGGGACCTGGGAACAAGTGGTTCAGAGGTGCAGAGGAAGGGTACCCAAGGCAGACTGAAGTAGTTGAATGAGGATGGTAGAAGGAGCCTGTGACGTCACCACATCTGTCACCCAATTCTTACATAGTGACTCGGTCTGGGTTTTCCCTCTAAGAGCTGGGGTGCGTGCCTCCATCCAGCTGGTCCCTAGAGACAGTATCTTCTTGTACCTTGTCACCCACCCCCACCCCCTCACCCCCCCCATTCCCCCCACCCCTCCTGCTGAGGCAGCCTGGTCTCTTCTTTAAATCTGGCTCCTGCAATAATCTCTAGAAAGCCTTCCTGGACTTGTTCTGCATGCCCAAATAAAACCTCTTCTTGTCCCACCCCATCCCACGGCCTGGGTTTTTCCACACAACTTTGACACTTCAGATCTTGACTTTAAATTCTCTGAGCCGGTGTCTTCTCTGACCTGGGAGAACTCCACAGCACAGAGTGGAGCTTTACAGCTCTTAGGTGTCCAGCAAGTATGAGTGACAAGTATATCCTGGTCACAGGACAAATGCAGCCTTGCGTGCGTGTGCCCTTGGACATAACTTAGTTTGGCACTTTAAAGAGAAAACTGGGGTGCTTAAAGACAGACAAAGCATTGTAGTGAGGCAGATTTGACTCGGGAAAGTGTTCAGTTGGCTCGGCCACTAGGGTAGTCATTTATGAAAACATTTCATTTTCCTTCAGTAGCAGCACCTATGACAGTTTCCTTTTGAACACAGTGAGTGACATCCATCTCCACATAGCAAAAGGATTCTCTCATCAAGGAGTTAGAAGGACTTAAGCATACCTCCGTGACACACTTATTTCCTGCTAGACAAATCTGTGGCCACTATGAAGTTGACCAGCATTTGCATGCAGAGGGATTCTGGAAGCAGAAACTTCTACAGCCTGTCATTGACTTCTCTCCCACTCTCTTCACTTCAGGTCTCACAAAACCAAGGAAAAAACCCAGGTTAGGAAAAAACTACCTGGGTAGAGTGGATCACACCCATAATTCCAGCACCTGGGAGACTGAGGCAGGAGGATTAACATGTGCTACATTAAAGACCAGCAGGGACTACATAACTACATAGCAAGCTCTCGGCTAACCTGGGTCATAGAATGAGACCTTGTCTCAAAAAAAGAAAAAAAAAAATCTACAGAAACAACCATTAGATTTTAAAGCATTTAACAATCACAGTCAAACAAAAGAGATTTTATTTTAAAAAGAATAAATTTACATACAGTGCATAAGCAAGACAGCTGAAGCCTTCCAAAATAGAAACCTGAAACATATGGTCTGAAATACCACATGCTGTGATTACCCTGGGAAGATGCGCTGTGTATTGGGGCAAGAAAATCCCGTGACCAGGCACAGTGTGGAGGGTTTTAGTGGCTTCTGTCAAAGGGTGTTAGTGTAGGGGTCTTGCCTATGTCTTTTTCCAGCATGTTCGGCTATGGCACAGGTCTGAGCAAATAGGACACAAAAATGACAGCTCTTTGGAAAGTTCTAGATGGGTGCTTTGGCCTTGGAGTAGAAGCAAGATGGGAGAAGGGTGTGTTATTCTTCCCGATTCCCGGAGGGGCCAATATGCCTAAAAGCTTTGGTGTCAAGGTTGGTCCGGTGAGCATGACGGCCCAGATCAAGAGGGCCTTTCGACTGAGACTGGATCTTAACCAGCAGGGGGCACTCTTTCCCCAGAGAGAAAATCCAAGTGTTCCGAGGGGACACAAGAGAGAATTCACTAGGGGGAGGTGCTCTGAGAAGTGAACGAAGTGGATTGAAAGGGATCAAGCAATAGCTTTTAAAACCAGTACTGTCGGAATCCAAACCTAAACTTGGCATCTCCAACAAATAATTTCTCCATCCATTGGAGGTCATCAAGTACATCCAAGAGTGGCCAGTCATGACCAATTCTCAGGCCACTGCTTAATGCTGTGTGGCTAATATATTCATCCACCATCTAAATTATGTAAACACGGCCTTAAATGCACCCAGACAGTGGTCAGCTTTCCCGTTGTTGGGACTAAAACATCTTAATCACCACGCCCCGCTGCTGTGACAGTAGATGTAGCCCTTCTTTTGCAAAGATAAACACGGAGGAAGCGAAGCCTTTTGTCACTAGGCTTCAGACAAACCGACTAAAACCATCCTGCGAAAATATTAGCCGGTATTATAAGCTCTCATTTGGTAGCTGGGCGTGGGGAGAGGGAAGAAAGGGCCTCATCAACAGCTATGCCCTAGAGAGGCTGGCCTGGGTGAGAGAACCCGTCAGCCAGGGCTTGTAGCACCCCAGCCGTGGAGCTGAAACACCGGCAGAGCAAAACCAGGCAAATGATGGGTTATTTTGATCCCTGCTCTTAACTATGATAAATGAGAGAAGTGTCAAGTTAAAAGTGGGCACTTTGTGAAGAATATTTGTTATTCTTTTTGTTTGTGTGTTGTTTGTGTCTTCAAGACAGGGTTTCTCTTTGTGGCCCTGGAACTGGATCTGTGGAGCAGGCTGGTCTCGAACTCACAGAGATCTGCCTGCCTTTGCCTCCTGAGTGCTGGAATTAAAGGCGTGTGCCGCCATGCCCACTCCAAGAACTATTCTTGAGAAATTAAAACACTGTGTTCAGTACCAAGGAACATCATTCCAAAATCAGAGAACATCATTCCCAAATCAGAGAATATGTTGCTCTTGGTTTTCACACTGAATGCAAAGGTCTGAACCTTGGTAACTTTTAAGGGGTGGGGATTAATTTTGTCCAGTATGTGTGGATAGTGTTGAGGTGTTAGGATCATGAAACATTGGCCTCAGTGGTACCACCCCTCAAAAGATCGGTAACTATGCATCTACAGCATCTTTTCAGGATGGGCTGATACCTGATCATGGTTCTGCAGAGGAGTCCAGGGAAGGAGCTCTGTATTGCTGTCATCCTAAAAAACTGCTGCATCTAAGGAGGACCATGCTAGGTTTAATGGGTGCTATAATGAATTGGCTTATTTTCCCAAAATAGTCTGAAGTTGTTCTTGCATGAATGGCCCTTAAAATTGCCAAGAGATACGAGGTGGGAAGACTGAGAGGGAGTCCCTGATTCTGCTTAGCAGGTGAATAATTAAAAAACAACAAAAAACTATAGAACGTAGCTGAGCAATGATGAGGTAACGTTAGGGGTATTGGGGCGGGGGGGGGGAGATGAGGCAATGTCAGGGCTGCCTAGCCTCTCTTGGTCAGACTTCCAGAGGACGAAGCTCATCCATTCTCGTGCTGATCCAGTGCTTTCCAAGTTTATATGGCTACTTAAACTGAAGGTGCCAAAGACCAAGCAAGAACGAGCAGGAGTCTCAGCGTGTCCTGTTTTCACCTGCGAGGAGGTAGCAGCCCGTCATGTGTGGCTTAGACTAGTGCAGGAACCGAAACCTGGGATGCTGCGAACTCTGTGCAAGGAGGATCAGCTTCTTGTTTCCCTAACGGTGGGCTGGTAGAGAGCAAGCTCTTCCTGGGGGCCTCCGAGCTCTGCTACTACAGTCTTAGAGTCTCTGCACAGGAAACTATTCCAGAAGAGTCTCACCACCCACTCAGGCACAGTTTAGTCCGATTACAGCACAAGACGTCGCTCTGCCCAAGGAGTGCAGTTTTCCATGGTACCACCCTTTCTCCCAAACCCAGTTCCAGGTTGGGGAATGAGACTAGGCATTAGGCAAGGTTGGAACGGAAAAGAAGTGTTCTGCCTTCATATTACCTCAAGTCTGTCGGCCCTCTGGAGCCCGATAGGGCTCGAAGCCATTTCAAGCCAGGCCACAGTTCCTGTCCACCCAAGACTGGGTCCTAAGTCCATGTAACAGAAAGGGGAGGGGTTGGTTGCCTTACAGGTGTGGTTGCAGGCTGGGGTCAACGGGAGCACAGTCCTTGCAGACCAAACACACTGCTGGTGCCACAGCAGGAGTTATCACTATGACATCAGCAAAACAAACAAACAAACAAAAAAACATTACCTAAGATTTCCTTACATAGGAGGGGTTGAGATCGCCCCAACTGACGGCTTTCTCACGTTTTTTGCCTTTCACATTATCGGACTAGTTTCCAACTGTTCAGGGTCTCAGAGCAGTCCCAGAAACCTGTGCAGCATGGGCACAAACGTTGTGGCACAGACGCCGACAGACGTGTAGGTGACAAACTTGTAGGGGACCTCGATCTCCAGCCTTCGCCTGGCCTCCTTGTTCCTCGTCACCACCCTGAACCACGAGAATAACACTTGCAGGGAGAGCTTTTGCACCAGCTGCCGAACCAGGACGATCAGCACGATGCCCACCATGAATTTGGTCAGCCCCAAAACCAGCATGTCCGTGGTGAGGGGTGGGATGCTCTGAATCACAGGGAGGGGCGGGGTGGGCTTGGACACCAGCTGGAAGAAGTGGTTAATCCAGAATCCCAGGGCCACCCCAGCCCCGGCAGCCACGATGGTGGTGGTGTCTGCCCTGGTTGGGCTGTAGTAGTCGGACACGGGGTAGTTGTAGCACAGGAAGAACGGCACGACGATGACACACACCGGGAAGAGGGGGCTGGCGGAGTCCAGCGAGTCGATGAGGGTCCAGGCCGGGTAGGTGAGGGTGATGAGGACTGCGGTGATCAGCACGCCGCCCAGCACATCCTGCCGGAGAAAAGAGCAGTGGTTTATCAACACTTGAAATTCAGTCTTCGCACTGTTTTATTTTATCGTGTGTATTCAAGGAAAGTGAAAATCAAAGAATTTGGAGTGAAAATAGGAAATAACACATATAGATAGCCACCATGTTACTCGCATTACATACTTTCTTACAAGAGTGTTTCTGTATTGTAGAATAAATTCTGGGTTTTTTTTTTTTTTTTTCTGAGTAGTGATAGTCTTGTAGTCATTGAATCTGACTTTGTTATATATATCTCAGGTCACAAGAATTGTCATAGTCTTCACAGATGTGGCATCATCCTTTCTTGGCAGCACGATGAGGGCACTAAACTCTAGTACTGTGTTTTTGAAAAACTGAATATTAAACATTACCAATTGGATGGCCTGTTAGCTCCTTAAACCCTTGGCTAGAATAAAAACCACAGGAGGAATGCATGCCCCAATAAGTACCTGGCAGTTATAGCAAAGGGAATACACCATTTAATATTTTCTTTCTAATATTTAAAATACTCCAATGTCAACTCATAATAAGAGAGATGAATCAAACCATTTGGGGAGAAATGAGAACTTGAGTTTCTGTAACAGCTGGTTTTTGAATGTTTATAGAGATTATATTAATTCCCAAACTGGAGACAACCCCAGATTCTTGAAGGGGTAAATAGCCTGTGGTATATTTATGTCCTAGAATACTTTTCAGCAATTAAAAAGCAATGAACTACTGATGCATATAGTACAGCTCAGATAAAATCTCCAGGAAATACTGCCGAATGGAACAAGCCACCAAGCTTCATGGGTACATACACAACATGGTTCTGTTTATATGGCATTTCTAAAAGACAAGACCCCAGTGACAGAGAAGAGGGTCAGCTGTTGCCTAGGGGACTTGGGTTATCTGGTGTGACCATAAAGGATATCAAGAGGCAGTCTGGGGATAATGAAACTATTCTCTACTGAGATGGTGATTATAAAAATGTATGTGTGCTACAATTCATAAAACATTAAGCAATTATTACATTGTTTTATGTGTATGCATGCACACGTGTGCATGCTACAGCAGGCATGTGGAGGTCAAAGAGAGCTGGGTCCCTTCTCCCCTTCTTCTGTGTGGGTCCCAAGGATTGCTCAGGTCATCAGCTTTGGTGGCAAGCATCTTTACCTCCTGCGACATCTCGACAGCCCCAAATTCACAAAATTTTATGCCAACAATAGTCATTCTTTTCAATTAAGCATTTCAAGAAATGAAAATGAAAATGCTAGTGGGCTCTTTTGTTCCCATCTACTAACCTTGCCATGTGCCAATTGCTACAGCTTAAGAGAACCCCAGAGACCTGGAGAGGGTCCCTAATTTCACACTTCTCCCTTCTCAGAGTGTGCTGAGAATCTGCTAGAATTATTACCCAGTTCTTCTGACAGAATTCTGTTAGCTGGGCATGGTGGTGCATGTGTGTGATCTCAGCATTTGGGAAGTGGAGGCAGGAAGATGCGGAGTTCCAGATCCATTTGGACTGTATAGGGAGACTTTGATTCAAGAAACTGAAGGGCCAGGTGGTGATGGCACAGGCCTTGAATCCCAGCACCTGGGAGGCAGAGGCAGGCGATCTCTGTGAGTTTGAGTCCTGCCTGGTCTACAGAGCAAGATCCAAGACAGCCAGGGTTATGCAGAGAAACTCTGTCTCGAAAAGCCAAAGCCAAAGCCACACACACACACACACACACACACACACACACACACACAAAAAAAAAAAAAAAAAAAAAAGAAAAGAAAGAAAGAAAACTTAAATCTGTTAATGAAGCTATCTTCCACCCATCCCCTGCATGCAAAATGCCGCATGCTTTCTGGGGCAGGAACTTGTCAGTAGCTTTTAAAAGTACACATTTATAGCCGGGTGGTGATGGTGCACACTTTTGATCCCAGCACTTGGGAGGCAGAGGCAGGTGGATCTCTGTGAGTTCAAAGCCAGCCTGGTCTATAGAGCAAGTTCCAGGACAGCTAAGGCTAGGACACATTTATGGTCTGACCTAGCAGCCTCACCCTGGGACCTAGCCCCGGGGCTGTAACTGCCCACAGCGGAAGTGAGATGTCATGTTCTTTAAGGCAGTGTTGCTGGAAATAGCTCACCGAGTCTCCCTCCAGTAGCGTCATTCCACTGAACTGTGGGATAGTCACACCATGGAATACTACGCAGCCGTGGCGAAGAGAATGCTCTGAGGAGTTTCAAAAGGCAAGATGGGCCCGGGGCTGTCGGGGTCACTAACAACGGCAGAGCACAGCTGCCGCAGCTTTCTGCTGACGACATTCAGTCCATCTGGCAACAGGTCCAGATGGAGTCTGCTTAGACTGTGTGAGTAGTGCGCTTAGGCCATCTCCACCTGTCAAGTTCTTAGAGCAAGCGCCTAGGGCTCAGCTCTAGAGCTGTGCCTCTCGGTCACATGTCTCCAGAGGTGGCGATGATTTCCCTCCTCCCTAAACTGAAGCTAAAGAACCATACTTCATATACTTTCCCATTTTTATCTTTGCTGTGAATAGATACTTTCCTTTGGGCCAGAAAGTCAAGGTTGAGCCAAGATTGCTTATTTGCGTTCTTCCTCAACGCTCCTGAACTAGTGTCCAGACATTCTCTTACAGAGTCAGGAGGCAATAACTGTCATACCAGAATGTCTGGGGTATTGGCCACCCATTGTTTCAAAGTAGAACTAAGAATTTACCCTGTTTCCTTCTGTCTTCTTCTGTAATTACAATGACCAAAGTCCCTGACATCGGGTTGGAATAGCCTTTACAAGCTAACTGTGTTCATCTTCAACCCAAACTACATTATTCTGGTCCACATCCCCAGCATTTCAGACAAAACTAATTTTAGCCAACATGGCTGATGATGGAGTTTTTCTCCTCCCTTCTAGGCACACACTTGGATTTTCATCAAAGGTGAGGCTATAATAAAGACATTTAGGTATTAGTAAGAAAAATACCTGAGCCATAACTAGTGACAGTTGTTGCTAGAGTTTTCCTGCCTTGCCCACAGTCAGGACAAATCCCTGTCACCCGCCAGTCCCACAGCCACTCAGACCCAGCCAAGTAAACACAGAGACTTATATTGCTTACAAACTGTATGGCCATGGCAGGCTTCTTGCTAACTGTTCTTATAGCTTAAATTAATCCATTTCCATAAATCTATACCTTGCCACGTGGCTTGTGGCTTACCGGCATCTTCACATGCTGCTTGTCATGGCGGTGGCTCGGAGTGACTCTCTCCACCTTCCTGTTCTCTCATTTCTCCTCCCTGTTAGTCCCACCTATATTTCCTGCCTGGCCACTGGCCAATCAGTGTTTTATTTATTGACCAATCAGAGCATTTGACATACAGACCATCCCACAGGGGACAGTTCCAGGTTGGGGACTGTAAATTGCTTATAACAAAATTATTTTTTAAATACTTCTAAAAGTATTTTTTTTTTTTTGAGACAGGGTCTTCTCATTCTGTAGCTCAGGCTGGCCCTAGCACTAGTCAAAAAAAAAAAAAAAATTAAACAACAACAAAAACCAAACCCAAAACAAAAAAAAATTCAAAAATACTTCCAGAGATGAAGATAATTAAACTACCGAGCATGCTACATTATATAAACCTGCAGACCTACAATTCTACTCAAGAAGTTTGAAGAAAATGAACAGAATAAAACTGTTCACAAAAGTTCACATCACAGGGTGCTGCAGAGGCAGCTTAGTTGGTGGGGTGCTTGCCCAACATGCAGAGACCCCCAGCATTGTGGGGCATTTACCCACCAACCCCACAGTTCCCCAGAGTTTTCTTGAGTTCAACCTGCAGGAAATATTAGAAGGATTTAGATTGTGGAGATAAACAGAAAATACAGGATAGCCTCGAGAGGGCCTGGCACCTTTTCCAACAAGCCCTGACTGTCTCTGCCCCAAGGTATTTATAGAGATGCCAAGGGGGGAGCAAAAGACCTCCTCCCCCAGCACAGCCAAGTGCAGACCATCTCAGACACCTGCACTCAGGCTTGTGGTCCAATCATCCTCTCTATGAGTACCAGCTGGGTAAAGCCACGAGGAACCTGAAAATGGGCTCCCACACAGCATCAGCACAGTATCAACCTAGGACATAGTGCTATACATCTGTCATCCTAGAAAACAGGGCACCTAAGGCAGGAGGGTCAAAAGTTCAAGGTCATCGTCAGTCACAGAGTGAGTCCAGTGACAGCTTAAAATATATCAGACTAGGTCTCAGGAAGGAATGAAAGAGGGAAGGATTAGTTTACTCTTAAAACTGGTCCTTTCTGGGTTATTTCCACTCATGCAACGAAGACCAAAGGTAACATGATCCAATAGAGAAAAATCAGAAAACACACAAGCAAGCAAAATTAGCATAAAGAAAGGGACACACATCACAGACTCTGAAAAGGCACGAATCTGTGGTTCACACAAAATATAAGAGGTGCTGTGGATGATTGATTGATAAATAAAATGCTGATTGGCCAGTAGCCCGGCAGGAAGTATAGGTGGGACAAAGAGAGAGGAGGATTCTGGGAAGTAGAAGGCTGAGAGGAGGAGATGCTAGCCTGCCGTCCAAGGAGCAGCATGTAAAGGCAGCAGGTAAAGCCATGGAACATGTGGTGACATATAGATTAACAGAAATGGGCTGAGTTTAAGTGTAAGAGCTAGACAGTGGTAGGCCTGAGCTAATGGCTGAACAGTTTAATTAATATGAGCTCCTGAGTAATTATTTTATAAGCCGTTGTGGGGTCTCTGGGGCTGGGCAGGACTGGAGAAAACTCCAGCTACAGAGATGAGCAAACACTGTTTCCTTATTAATAATAGAGGAAGACAATTTTCCATGTGAAAAGACACATTCTTGAAAGTCTCATTTCCCTCCCATGGCTTCAACTTTAACAGTTAGTGAGATGTATTGAAGAGAATACAAAATCTAAAGTATATGCATACCTATACACACACATATATATATATGTATGCA